AAAAAAAAAAAAAAAAAGATATAAAGATATCTGTATTTTTAGGTCGAACTCAGAGACCACGAACACGTAGTAGAGTGTATCGCATGGGCACCGGACAGTGCAAGAGCATCAATCAACGCTGCAGCAGGAGCAGACAACAAGGGTGCCCACGAAGGACCTTTCCTCGCATCTGGCTCGCGAGATAAAGTAATTCGTGTATGGGATGTCGGTGCCGGTGTTTGTCTTTTCGCCCTCTTGGGCCACGACAACTGGGTTCGCGGCATCGTCTTCCATCCTGGTGGCAAGTTCATCGTCAGTGCCTCTGACGATAAGACCCTGCGAGTCTGGGACACGCGCAACAAACGGGTAATGAAAACCCTTGAAGCGCACGTCCACTTCTGCACCTCCGTTGGTGAGTAACGATTCCAAAGAGCATCAATTGCCTGGCAAAACACGTTTTCACTTGGAAATTTAAGAAGATTTAATTACTCTCATAGAGTACAGCAGAGCTAGCTGACTTAAAGAGATTAAGAGATCCAATAACAAATTGAATTTTTCCCACATATTATGTAACTTGAGAGGAAGGTATTTTTTTTCTTTTTCTATTCTAATTAGTCTAATTATCATTGCCATTGTTCCATTATTATAAATATGTTCAGTGATTCAGTTTAGAATATTTTATTATTTCATTTTTATTCAATTCTTTTCTTTATTTCAGGTTTTTTCAGATTTTCCAAATTTCTCGAAAACGTATAAAATAAAACAGAGTTTGGAGTAATTTATTATATTCTGATTAATAATTGAAATAAATTTAATTGCATATAGAAGCTTGGTTTATAATATAGAGTTTATAGATTATGCGATACACGCCAACGAGGTGCTATTTTTACAATACATTGATCGAAAGAGCTTACATATCAGCACATCTATCAGTTGAATAAAAAAAAACCTTACAATTTTTCGCGTTACCATTATTTGAATATTGTATAATTTGCTTTTTCTTATCTTTATGCATGATTAACTCATCATAATATCAAAAATGAAATAAATCAATAATGTATGAATCTAAAAAATGATAAACATACAAGAAAAAAATATGTTTACCATTTTTATTTATCAAAACTATTTATACGTATTTTTCAATATATTTTTAAATATTAAAAAAATTATTATTTATTTTACATGTTTATTTGTTCCATTTCTCAAGATTCTTTTTTTGTATTAATTTTCAATAAAGAATTAAATTTTGTAAATTTTTTATTTTAAAAAAAAAAAAATAATAAAAGATTTGAAATTGTTTCATTTTTGTAAAATCAATTATGCAATCTATTATTCGAATATAAACAATTCAACTCTGCTGTACTATATTACATAAAAAGATTTTAATATAAATGCATGATATTAACTACTTACCATTTTTAATTTTAGAAACTGTTTCCTTCAATGTTTCAGATATTCCTAAAATATTCTTAAAACATTTCACATATAGGATAAATTATTAATATAATTTATTACTAATTAAAATATTAATTATACTATAAAATATTAATTATAATTACTAATATAATCATATTTTTGTAGATTTTCACAAAAGCCATCCTTACGTGGTCACCGGTAGTGTCGATCAAACGGTGAAGATCTGGGAGTGCCGCTAGTCACCAAAACATCAGGGTCTCGTTGAACCTTCGTCGAGAAAGAAAGATTTTGGAGAGAAGGCGAACGATGCGCGTCGAATTCGATGAAAACGGCCGAGAGAGTAAGCTGCTACAAAAAAAAAAAAAAAAAAGTTATCGTACATACTACTATTATTAATATTAATATTATTATACACACATAAACATGTACGATTAAGAGCTCTTTAATTAATTTATAATAAAGTATAATTAGTAATTATTAATATTACATATACGTTTTACGGTAATGAACTGCACGATTCGAGGAGAGTCGGTCGAGATTAAATTTTCTTTCGTGAGGAGGACATTGCCATAATTTCATCGACGGTTAGAAAAAAAAAAAAAAGAAAGGAAAGAAAATTCCTCGTATTAAAAAAAAAAAAAAAAAATAATACAACACGTACATGTTCATTCGAATGATTGATCGATCGTTTTATCCCTTTGTGAAGAAGTGTGCTACTAATTGCTATACATCTGGCTATGTTAAAAGAACTATGTCGTCGTCCTCCTCGATCCACCGACGATAAATGGGAATTTCGGCTGTGTGTCATGTCTCTGAGATACATAAGAAGAATCATGGTCGCTCGTTCTCATTTTGCCGTGCTGACCTCTCCTCGAGCGTTCTTGACGATGTGACATCCGAAGATGACACCGAGATACGTATGACACACAGAGAGATACACATATACGCGTGTGCGCATATACGTATTATTAAAAGAAGGAAAGCGTCAACCGTTTCACTCAGTAGTGCTGAGCGTCAATTTGATCGAGTACGTAGCGTGTTCCTTCGTACAAAGAAAACACAAAAGATGTAATAACAAAAAAGTGTGAACGTACGAGCGTGTAACGAACGTAGCGAACAGATTTCACATTAATTATATAATTGGAAATCAATGAGCGTTTGTTTGGGAACGTTTTATTCGTAATGTATGCTGCATATGTGCGTATTACTCTTCATGCGACAAAAATAATATTTCGAATTATTTCTCTCGACAAAAAGTCGAATGGAAAAAAAAAAAAGAAAAAAAAAAAAGAAAAAGGAAAACATCTAAACCGAGATCGGCCGAAGGCGAACGTGAAATGTACGGAAAGAAATGTTAACGTTAAAAATGAAATGATGGCTTTCGGCAGTGCGTGGCGTCCAATCAACGTGCATTATTAATATTAGAAGGACGGCCGAGTGGAGCGTGCGAAAAAAAAAAAAAAAAAAAAAAAAAAAAGAAAAAAGAAAAACATGAAAAATAAACGTGCAAGCGTGTATTCGTATGGAAGTACTTCAGCCGCATAATTCGTTGCGTGGGTCCCGAGATATGAGGGGTACTAGTTGTATATTTAGCTCTAAACTACTATTAGCGGTAGCGCAGACGTAACGTAGACAAGAAACAAGAGAAAAAAAAAAAAAAAAGGAAAGGGAAAAATAGAATCAGGCCACGAGTGTACGATCGATCGGTACACACAACACACACATATACTTACGCAGCCATTCGTCGAGACTTCGTGTAAACAATGCTTAATTAATTAAGGCCGATTTTTCAAATCATATCTCTATTATCCACTATTACATTTTTCCTAACATTTTTCCTTCCCAAATCTAAAATAAGCGCCATCCTCTTGCTCGTGTCCATTCATTCCCCCTTAAACTCCGAAGAAAGCTCCAGACCATTTGACTCGATGTCGTAACTAAATTATTTTGTTGAAAAAATAAAAATGAAATTCTCATTAAATCGATTTAACTTAGTTCTGCTGTACTATCTGTGTGTTTCGTCGTCGTTCGTGCATCGTTGTTTGCCATCGATAATTTTTCGATTCATTGGTAATAAAACCGTAGTTAATCACGATACTGGAAGTTCTGTTCTTTTGGAGGAACAACTCTCCCTATTCGTCTAACGACCCGGTGAAATTATAGAAATTCTTCCAGAAGACAAGACCAATTGTAATGTTTTATTCGAACAAACAGGCTTCGTTCGTCTGTCGATCTAACTTTTGTCTACTTTTTCTTTTTCTCCCGACAGAATTTTTTAATGTAGCACTCTTGTACAAAACGATTCTTTCGGAATCGGAGCGTGACAGGATCGCACGTGTACACAGTGTTTGATGGCTCGCGTGAAAAAACAGAACGAATTTCTTTCTTTCTTTCTTTCTTTCTTTCCTTCTTTCTTTCTCTCTTTCTTTCTTTCTTTCCTTCCTTCTTTCGTTCTTTCTTTCTCTCTTTCTTTCTTTCTTTCTCTCTCTCTTTCTTTCCTTCTTTCTTTCTTTCTTTCTTTCTTTCTTTCTTGTCAATCGACCGACCTTGTGCACCTCAATTTCGCTCGCGAGGCATGTACGATACTCGCAAGTTCCATAGAAGCGAGCAATGCGTACGATTTAAGTCACGACTCCGCAAGTACATGCATGTCAGTATTTTACATTTATAATATAGAGAGAGAAAAACTAACACACGTACACGAACACGTATATACTCATATATATTTATAATATATGGTATATATTATACATATATATATATAAATATATATATAAATATACATACACATACACAAGTATATACACAAAAATACGTGTGTGTATATATGTATACACACAATTATATTATTGTAATTGAGCAGTGAAAACGAAAATACGCGTACCGAACAGTTAAACTTAACACAATTCGATGTTCGGTATTTATACGTAGGATGACGTAATAAAAGTAATGTCGTAGTTGCTTTTCGTAAATTCCGTTGCACTTGCTTTAGTAATTTTTTTCTCGCTTTTTCTACCCGCCCTTCGATAAAAAAAGAAACGATGCTGACACGTTTGGTAGAGTAAAAAAATAAAGTTTTATCATCATTTGTGATATATACGTATACATCGACAAATTTTTCATTAAAATCCTTGCGTTGTTGTTGTTGAATTGGAACGTAAAAAAAATATTAGCGAGTCTATAGGGAAATAATGGAAAAAAGGATGGACATGTTTTAAGAAACCGCTATGGCGAGTTTATTTGCTTGTCTTACGCGTGTATGGCTCATTAAGAAAGAGCTTACAATAATAAGATCGTCA